CCTTGTCTATCCAGAAGTCAAGAAATGCCATTTTGAGCCTCTATTGGATCCCATACTCACGGTCCTAGTATCAAAGCTAACCATGGTAAGTGGATGAAACTGGATGCTGTTGAGTAGTTGTGCTAAATGTTGACATAGGTGTCGTTTGTGTAGGATTTCTAGAAAGTAATGTGTGAAAAACACCCCATATTTGATCATACGCCTGCTCACGTTACACTAGAACAAGCGCTGGCAAGTCTATTTATAAACATACGCCCAATATGTCTAGTAAGCCATGCTTAGAGTATTTCTGCACCAATAACACATTATAATTTAACACAACAGTACTCAATAGTGCATTGTATGTTGCCACAGGATTATATAACATTATACAGTGGTCCAGTGAAAAATGTAATCCTTTTCTATATATTTTCAAGCTAATAATATGTGTGATTTAGGTCAGGTTCATGACCTTATGACAGTTTTTATTAGAATACATGGCTTTGTTTTTTTTTTTTTACTGTGAGCCTTACTACTGCTAAAAAAAAAAAATTCTGATCAAATCATGACCATAAAATAAGTGGTACCAGCATTACTTATAATGCTATTTTCAGGGGAATTATATCAGGGGAAGACTTCGTTGGAGGCTCATGGTATCCCTCTAACACCTGAACAAGAAGCCTTGAGTGCCACCAAACAGACAGTCTCCATCCTGGTCAGCACTATGTCCACCTCTACCACCACAGCCGCAGCTGCAGACAACTTCTTCACCAGGCTGGAGTTAGTGCGCTACCTCAAGGACAAGAACTACAGGTATACAGGGACAGCCAGGGATAGCAGAATAGGGAAGCCTCTACTCAAGTCCATCAAGGAGATGGAGAAGAAGGCTGTTCCTCGGGGTACCTGCAGCTACGTCACCAGTGATGATGGGGTCCTGGCCCTCAGGTAGTCTGCTGTCAACAGACATTGGAGTGGAGCCCACGTCCTCAGTCCACCGGTACTGCAGTGAGACCAAGCAGAAGGTGGAAATGAGCTGCCCTGCTATAATTCCAATAGAGGGGGAATTGACAAGAGTGACATGCGGGTCTATCTCTACCGTAGCCCCATGAAATCCAAGAGGTGGTACATGTGGCTGTTTGCATATGCAATTGATGTCAGCCTCACAAATGCCTGGGTCAGCTACAAGCGGGACTGCAAGGCTCTGTCATGTCTCGCCCCCAAAGGAGCTCAGCAGTTCGAGGAAGCCTCAGCACCTCTGTAGATGTTCCTAAGCCTGTATGGGGACACCGTAGCCACTCTCCAGATGATTTTGTGCAGTTTGACCTGTTCCTTTTCCATGCCAAGGTCTACACCACCTGCCAGACCTGCAAGACCTGCAAGCACTGCAGCAGGAAAGGGCACATCTTGAGGTCAAAGATGCTCTGCGCTAGGGGTGTGCCAAAATATCGATACTAAGATATATCGCGATATTTCGTCTTGCGGGACGTTATCGATACAGTGGCGCCAAATATTAATATTTAAACAATAAACATACAGCCGCTCTAAACAGATTCTCTCACAAAAGCCTGCTACAATTTTGATTTACAGCGTCACTACTACACGCCTCCAAGTGATGGCGCTTAGCATGAATGAGAGTGGGTGGAGTCTACTGCGATAGAGAAGAAGAAGAAGAAAAAACAAACAAAAAGAAGAGGGAATGGCGCAAGGCGGGGAAAAACACGTAAAAGATGTGGCGTCTGGGCCGTCTTCGGCTTTTACAATTCTTATAATGGAACAACGCTTGACAAAGAGTTCACGATCTGCAAACAATGTCTCGTGAAGGTCAAGTACACGGGCAACACAACAGACATACACAGCCACCTGTCCGTCATCATCCGGATCTGGCCGTGAGGACAGCCAACGACGACGCTAATGCTAACGCATCTGTAAGCCAGCCTACCATCGATAACGCATTCAAAGCAAAGCTTCATTCTGCATCTCCCAGGGCTGCGAGTATTACGAAGTCCATTGCATACTAAGACAAAGCAATTAGAGGAGATTATGTAGATGATATGTCTGGTAAATGGTGTCCATTTTTAATTAAGAAAATAATGCAGTATGAGGATCTAAATGATCATGTACATCATATTTCATTTTAATATTGTCCAGTGATATT